CTGAGCACCCTGGGCCAGAGAGCTCACTTAGGCAGATGAGGCTGGCACACTGCAGCCGGTGCAGTCCACCCTGCCATCCAGCTGGCCTACTGCTGCACTTGGACCATTTGAATCTCCTGGCTGCCCAGATGCTGCAGGGCAGGCATGAGAGCAGTGGGTGCAGAGGGGTTGCATGGATGAGATGGGTCCAACTGGCTGCCCAGGGTCCCCACAGGGCTGGGCCAGTTTATGCCTGCACTGTACCATCCTGTTCCCCAGCTTAATGTGGGGCCGGCCCCATGGGACCCAGGTGGCCATGGGCAACAGCTCTCACTCACCTCAAGACTAGACTGTGCCCAGGGTAGCAGCCCCATATGCAGCCCTTTTGCCTGCCCTCCACCCATCTCTGGTGCATCGTACCTTGACTACAAGGAATTCCATCACTCTCAGGCCTGTAAACTGCCCCAGAGCAAACACACAGTTTCAATTGTTTATTTTCCAATTACCTGGGTGCTACCAAACTGGATCCATAACTTCTTGACCATGCCTTATATATCTTTGTTATACAAATAAGGTAAAAATAGTATTTTCAGCCTATTGAATGAAAAGAATAAGGCTGAAATTCATATCTGGAAATGTCATGAGACATGTGTGGTGTCTGCATGGGCACACTATGCCAGAATTTTTTTTACATATTTTCGTTATTCCCACGTATTATATGTGTGTGCATGTTATTTATCTGGGAATGCTATTTCTGAAAATATGGTACTTTTTTAAGTTAAACAATTTAACTCTGTGCTATAAGGTTGCTGTGAGTTGAAATTGACTCAATGACAGTGGGTTTTTGAGGCCATAATAAAATACCACAAATGAGTGGCTTAAAAAAAAAAAACCAAACTTCCAGTAAAATGGAGAAATAGGCAGACAAGTGACACAGACCCTCCTCAACAAAGAAAAGAGAAACCAATCGACAGAGATACAGAAGATAATCCTGGAGCCCTGAGCTTTGAAAGAAACTATATAGAAGTGGATTAGGCACCAACTAGTGGAAAAACCTGAACGAAAACAGTGAGTACAGAGACGGTCAGAGCTGTGGACAATCAGCTTTTCTGATGGGACCAACAGCCTAAATATTTCCAAGTGGTGTTGGGACCTGAGAATTGACCTAAAGATCAGCCCTTGTCACCAAGGTCTGTAGGAATGACTGTGCTAGTGGCCTATGACTTGGAAGGAAACAGCAAGGAGAGAGACAACCTGAGATGTGGACTTTCTGCTGTCCAGAGAGCACAGCCATTTTGATTGTTTACATGTAGCAGCCATTTTGGCTTTTTAAAGTGACCAAGGGCGCAGCCATTTTGAATCTTTACAAATGGCACCCATTTTGGATTTTAAAGTGACAGCATTCTCATTTGGATTTCAGGGACCTAAGAATAGACTCTGTTTGCCAAAGATGCCAGGGACACATGGGAGGCTGACAATAGGAAAGGAGACAGGTGGTGAGTGTATAAGTACTGCCCACTAGCGAGCAGAGGACCACAGTACCCTGCTTACATAGATAACATACAAACAAAACAAAAAACACAAAAATAGTGGGCAAGTCACTCCAACATACAATCATCAATTAAATATAAAAACAAAAACATCACAATGCCTTGGAGATACCAGAGCAGCACAGTCCACACAAAGAAGCAAGATAAAGCAGGAGAAACAAGGGACCAGGATACAGACCCAAAACACATCCCTGAGGAAGACACAGCATTGGAACTCCCTGATAAGGAATTCAAAAGAATTATATTTAGATATCTTCAATGAATTGAGAGGCAGATCAAGGAA